GCGACCCCGCCCTCGCCCGCTTCCCGCCCGGCTTCGGCCCGGGCTTCTGCCGTATGCGCGGCCGTCACCCGCACTGCCATCGCGCCCTCCATGTCGCAACGCGCCGCAGGAAGATGGCGGATTTACGACCGTGTCGTCATAACAACGGGCCGCGCCAAGGCGAGCGAGAGAGAACCCAGAGAGGATGACGACGGGGCGGGGCCAGGATGGGTTTGACGGGCAGGCGGCGGGGCGGAGCCTTAGGGGTGTGGCCCGGGACTGCAGAGGCGGGGCCAGGCTCAAGAAGACAGGGCGGGACTCCTGGAAAGGATGTGGTTACGGCGGAGCCGACTGACAGGCGGAGGGGAGGAGTCGGGGGGGAATCGCCTGCGGGGCATGCCTTGGCACAGTAGGGGCGTGGCCACGCCTGAAGATCCTAGGGCTGGGACCTGGAAGCCGCTTCAAGGCTTGCTAGCTGGAGGAGAGGGGCGAGGTGGGCTGGCGGCTCCACTGGACTGCCCCTGGGCGGGTGCTGCGGCCGCGTATACCCCGCCAGGAACCCAGCTCGAGAGGGCTGCTGCCGGGGTACGTCTTCAGCTCGGACCTGTAGTGTGATGCTCGCCGCGCCGCACCGCACCACCCTCCTCTGTTGGGGGCAGAACCTTTGATCGTTGACCCCAGTCATAGGGGAAAACCCGAGTTGGGGATGGCTCACGGGTAGCTTCACTAAGCCTGTATTCTTTTGTAGTTTTCGAGTTGTGATAAGTACACATGAAATTTACCGCTAGTGACAATACATTCATAATGTTGTGCAACCAGCATCGACACGTAGTTCCAGAACATTGTCATCATTCCAAAAGGAAACCTGTACCTATTAGCAGTCACTCCCCATTCTCCCCTGCCCCCAGCCCTTGGCAACCATTTCTTTTCTCTATAGATTTGTCTTTTCTGGGCATTTCATATAAATGGAATACACCTGTGGTCTTTTGCATCTGGTTGCCTTCACTTGATGTTTTTGAGGTTCATCCAGGTTGTAGCATGCAGCAGAACTTCATTCATTTTTATGGCTAAGTAATACTCCATTATATGGATAGATCAATTTATTTATTCATCTAGCACATTTGAGTTGTTTCCACCCTTTCTACTGTTGTGAATAGTGCTGTTATGTACAAGTTCCTTTTATTCTTTTAAAGGTCGTATTTAGCTCTTTGAAGCTAAGGGCTTTACAGGATCTCATTTAAGATACCAATTATGCCCATTTTGAAGTTACAGAAACTGAGGCACAGATTTGATAGGATACCTGCCCAAGGGCAGACCAAAGACTCTAACCCACGGCTGTCCAGAGTCCTAGAAACCTAGACTCACAGTGCGTGCTCTCCCAGTACAGTTGTTCTTTGTGGCTCAGCCCAGTGCTGGATTCCAGAAACTCAGGTGAATCAGACCCAGTTCCCTCCAAAAGGCCAATCTCCAGGGAAGACCAAGCACCGACGCAAGGGCCCCAGGCAGAAAATAGGCAGCTCTGCCCTGGGAAAGGCACCAAGAAGAGATTGTCTCCATGCTGGAGCTGCCCAGCTGAGGAACTGAGGACCCTTGGCCTAGCATGGGCTGGGATGTGTGGGGTACAGGTTAGATCACCAGAGGTCAGGCCAGGGTAACAATGGGGCTGCTTTCTGCAAGGGGCTTGCTCACCGTTGCAGGGGTTTAAGCCGAGAGAGTGATTGTCAGCATTTCAGAAGGATCCCTCTGACTGCTGGGCAGAAAAGGAAGATCCAAGATGGACGGTCTCTGAGAGAGACAAATGGGAGGAGGAGCAGCTGTATGCTTGTGGAGCATGAAGGATGTGGGGGGCATCTGAGAAGAGGACCGGGAGGACACTTCACTTGAAGATATGCTGAGGGGTAATGGGGAAGCCAGGATCAGAGAGCTAGAAGAAGACCCCCAGAGGAATGGAGTGGGGAAGGATTTCAAAGACAGAGGACAGCCTGGGTGTGGGTGGACATGAGGACATGAGGAGGAGCTGGTCCAGGGGAGACAGGCCACCTGCCCTGCTCTGTGCTCCAGAGCCTGTGGGACAGAGTTGTCCCCTGACAGGCCAGGGCTCCTGCCTGAATACTCCCTGGGGGTCAGAAAAGGGAATCCTGACCTAATGAGCTCTGGGCCATGCCTCAGCTGGAGCCCAGGCAAACCAGCAGGCATGGGAGTGGATGGTTCTGAAGTCACTGAAGGCAGAGTGGCCGGGGCAGGCTTTCTCCCTTCCCCAAAGCCTCCCTTCCACCAAGTGGCCTTCTTCCCCACCCTGCCCTCATCGTGGGCTTCAGCTGCACACTGTGTGTTTTACAGTCAATACTGGACTTCCTGTGACCAGAGCCTGCCAGGAACTCCATTGTCCTTTATGATGGCTGTCCAATCTCCATTCCTTGGATGTATTTTAATTTATTTAACCAACCCCATGTTGAAGATTATTTAGGTTACATTCAAATTTTTTTGCCACTTCAGTCCTTTTTCAATGACCCCCTTTTTTGCTTAGTTCATTAGAAATGATAACATCTGTGAAAACACAGATTGAATGGCTACTTGTATTTTCTACTGCAGTTTAAATCCATGCAATGCTATTAAGTTAGGGTCTGTCCTTGTACCACCTAAGTCCAAGCCCCATTCCCCTTGTGGTATAGCTTCCTCACTTGGGAAGATCCTGGCACTCTTCATTCACAGGTTGTACTGAGCACCTACTGTGTGTCAGGGATGCACTGTGATCGTTAATATGCTCCTCTCTCATCCAGATGCAGGGCACCTCATCCAAGGGCAGTTTTTCCCAATAAAGGACACCATACCTTCCAGCCTTCTTCAGGACCTTGGCCATAGCCATCCCCTCTCTTGATACTGGCTGTTCTACCTCTCCCACTGTGCCTACAGGGGATGTTAAAACAAACGGAGCTCAGCTTTGGGGTCACAACTGAATTTAACTGCAACTCTGCATTGTCCAGTTGGTGGCTCAATTTCCTCATCTATACATGAGGATACTAATAGTCCCTGTCTCTCAGGGTTGTCCTGTGATTCTGACAAGGTAATGCAGGTAAGGAGCAGAGCTCAGTGCCAAGATGCTTGCTGAGTACCCAGTAAACCAAGGCAACCATGCAAGTATTGCGCCAGCCAGCCTATGGCTGAACAGAGCAGTGTTTCCCATTCTAGCCAGTGTACCACACACACTGAATGTTTCTGGGTGGGTAAAGCAGGATTTGTGATCTTCTGTCAAATTCAGTTCTTCCCAGGATCAGTTCCACCAACAAAACTGAGTGGGAATATACAGCAGGGAAGGTGCTCCCCTCCTTGGAGGTGGCTGCAGCAGGCAGGAACACTGCAAACCCTGCCCTTTTGGGCCATGGCCCCTGCCCTCCAGGAGTTCCCAGCTGAGACCAAAAGAATAAGCAGATCCCTAAAGGAACTAAGGTTACTGGCTTTATCTTATGGGTTTAGGGGTGAGAGGGGTCCAGAGTAGACTTCCTGGAGACCTGAGGCCCAAGAGAGGAGCAGGGGTTTGACACACTAGGAGTTGGGGGTCTGGATCACCTGGCACAGGATAGGCTCTCAGGAATCTCTTGTTCTGCCACCTGTGAAACTAATAATAAACACACACCTACTCTATGAACTGGAAATTCCACTCCTAAGTATTTACCCCCAAGAGAAATGAGTGCCTACAACCACAAATGAGTGTGTAGAACCAGAAGCTTCATAGGGACATCATTTACAATAGCCCCAAACTGTAAACAACCCAAATGTCCATCACCTGGAGAACAGACAAACAGGAGTATATTCTTTCAATGGCCCACGAGGTAATTTAAACAAACAAACAAGTAAAAACTGAGAATGGATTTCACAGACATTATGTTGATCCAAAGAAGCAAAACCCAGAGGGGTACCCAGGGTGAGATCCTGATGGTAAGATGGTCTGGAACAGGCAAAGGAGGCTGTGACTCACTCTGTGACAGGAGTCAGAAAAGTGGTTGGGGGAGAGGTATCTGCTACTGACTGGATACTGACTTGAAGGAACTTCCTGGAATGATGGTAAGATTTATATCTTGATCTGGATTGTGTTTACACAGGCATATAGGTATGTAAAAATTCCACCAAGCTGCACACTTAAGATTTATGCACTTTATGTTTTGCCTCAATAAAAGTTAATAATACCTAATAATGATAGTGATAGCGGCCAATTGAGTGCTGTATTCTAGACACTAGTGTCCTTCTCTGAGACCCAAATCCCACTGCCTTGCAATTACTCGTTCACATGACCACTAAGGAACACGGAAAGAGTATTTGCAAAGGACTGGAAATGAGACCGCCAAGCTTGCTGGGAAGGAGCCCCGGGCTGAATCTCAGGAATGGCCGTAATCCGCCCACGCGCAGACACTTCGTCCGGAGACTGTCCCGGGCAGAGGGCACCGCCCAGCCCCGCCCCGGCAGAAGTGCGGACGTGACTACGGCCCAAACAGGGGCAGCGACCCCCGCCTCCCGCCGTGCCCCTATGGTGAGCCCCGCCCGCAAGATCGGAGACAAGCCAGCCAGTCAGCAGCTGGCCCAGCCCGGGGTCACTCGATTAAGGGCTTCCGCCACCTAGGCTGACCACGCGCCTCCAATGGGTGAGCTGCGCCGCTTCCGCTAATGAGCAGCTGCCCTACGTCCTGCGCCAACTCTCGGGCTCCTCCGCCGAATTTCCGCAGTGAGCGCTCCACGCAGAATGCCGGTTGGCTCCCTGCCAGCCAATCACCAGGGCGCCCAGAGCCCGACAGCCAATAGCCACCCGCCCCTCCGCGTCGGACCGCGACGGTTGGCGCTGAACTTCCGCAGCCCGGGGGAGGCGGGGGTGGATTGGCGCAGGCGATGTCCAATGGGCGGCACGC